CATATCAGTGTTTCTGCAGAGGACTCAGAGGGGTGATTTTGTTTTCTTGGTAAGCGCAGACCCAAAGCGCTATCAAAAGGTGCGGATGGATCCTAATTACATAAGATTCATGTCAGTATATGTAGTTACTTCTTGGTGGTTCCATGTATATTGTGCATATGATTTGTATGCAAGCCTCAAGGAATGGGTTCCAAGATGTTTTCAACATATAACTATTATAATAATTAAATGTAAGGTATTTAAATAAAATCATTAGGATAGCACACAAATATAAACATATATAGCCCTGCACAGCTTTCTTCCCTATTGTTTTTATATTATTTTACATTATTTCATTTTATAGTATATGATGGCACAAAAGACACTTGCTAGGTTTGCAAATAATGATAGAAGGATATACATAAGTTTCTTTTATTCTCATTAGCTAGGCATTATTGGATTTCATAGTGATGTTCTATTTGAAATATAATGAAATGACTTCTTCAGTAATAGCTTATCAGCTATTTTAATTAAGTAAAATATTTTAAGAATGTGTTAAGATCAACTTATATGTTATATACAAAAAATACATCCTTAAGTTTTCTCTCTTTATATTCAGATGGGAGTCATTAGATATATTTAATGTTTTTTTTAGTTATATGATTAACAACTATAGCAAAATACGTTGGAGAACATTATCTTTGAAGGGTTTCAGCGGTAGTTTAATTAACATACAGTGGACAGAAAGCATACAATCTGTTCAAACAGATGATTCGAAGATCCCTCCTGTTGCTTTTGTTTTCACTGCAGCTGGGAAGGGAAAGATTATATTGCATATATCGTTCATCTTGTTTCTGAATGATTTGTTTTGGTGGTGATTTAAAACATTTTCATGAGTTTGAAAACTTGTGAAGTGTATAGGAATAATTCACAGTGTAGATAACTAGGCTGTGGTTTTGTCAGTTTTTCTCCATCTTTATTTCTGTAAAACATCCATTTTTGACTTGTCTTATCTTCTTTAAAAATGATTCTGAAAAGGGACCAAAATCTAAGCCAATTTTATACTTCAGTCTACTGAATAATGAACATATAGGAATGCATCCTCTGTACATGATTGGGCAGTCTTGCTTATTCATCACATAACCAGAGAAAGAGAGTTATGTCTAAAATAGCAACCAAAGGAAAATTCATGGAGGCCAGGCTCTAAAAATTAAAAATTTTCTCATTAGAAAACCCTCAGGTCCTTCTTTAGATTATGTTTAGTCTTTGTAAATACAATTGGAGGCAGCAAGTGATCCATTTTTATCAGTTTATCCAGTTTAAGGTAGCAAATTTTAGAAGGAGCAAGCCCATCCATGATGGAGACAATCCAGTCAATGATTGTATTAGCTGATGTGATGGTAAAGCAAGAGAGAAAAATTTTAAAACACAGCTGAAAAACTAAAAAAAACACAACACCAAAACTGCACAGGTATCTGCAGACTTACCTTTGTAAGTGCTGGAGTAAACATTGATTCTTGCTTCATCTGGGAGGCCTACCTGTTGGTTAATTTCCCTTCCCCAGTAATCTTAATAATAAAATTTGAATAGTCACTGCAAAAACAGGAGTTTGACACATTAATGAAACAACCCAAACTTCAGTGTAAGCGGTGTTAAAAGATAATGTTTGACATATTACAAAATTTAAGTTCACCTGAGCAAGAATGAGTTCCAAGGGACAGCACCAAATCAGAAGGGGTTAGGAGCACACCAAGGACAGGAGCTAAGGGAGAGACTTTTCTGGAGAAGAGGTGGAAGCAAAGTAAGGAAACCATTTGATTGGCTACAGCTTCAGCATTTGATGGATTCAGAAAAGTAGAGTTGGCTGTTTGTGACTGATGGCCCTTAGGTTTGATTTAACTCTGAGGCATTTACAGGCTTAGGTTGGGGTTTGCTTACTATGTAGGCTGCTAAGGTATTAGTACCACCTCATTCTAATGGCCTCCTTGTTTAATTGACTTAACAGCGGGGAATATGAACTTTATTGTTCCTGAGATTTGAAGCGCCCTTTTATTTCTTCTCTTGGGTAAGAAAACAGGGAGAGAAAGAGAAAGGGGGCTCAGGGAAGTTGGGAAATGGAATTCCTATGCACACAGCCCCTCCCATGCTGCTTATTTCACCTACTGCCTGCCCTGGGCCAGAGCCGCAGGAGCTGGTGTGACTGACCGGCCTGATAGGCATCATGGAAAATAGTATATTTTATCTTGTGCTATAGACATCTGAAAAGATAGTGGTAAAATCAATATCAGTTAATTAATATCCAGCAATAATACTAATTTAAAAGAAACCCAGAGTTGTTTTGAAATTCTGTTTTGAAGATTTTAATAAAATCTAAGTCTTTGAAGTTTTTGGTATATTTTCCCTAATTTACATTATACTAGAAGGGATAATTTAAAAGAAACCCAGAGTTGTTTTGAAATTCTGTATTGAAGATTTTAATAAAATCTAAGTCTTTGGTATATTTTCCCTAATTTACATTATACTAGAGGGGAAAAAAACAACAACCTCCTTTTGTGTGATTTTAAAAAATATTTCTTTGTATCTAGGACTGTTGACTCCATTAACTGCATTGCATTTGCCACATTGCTTATTTAGGTTGACAATTGAGCCAGGACCCTGTGTAGATTTTCAGTTGTTCCTCCAGGACTGTTTGTATTCAGATGCCCACCCTCCTAGTGCAAGGCAAATGCACAGCCCTAAGGTTAACCTAAGCCTGGTGCTAGGAGGTCCTGATTTGGTTGTTGTAAAACTTATTGCTTATCTTTGTTGTAAGTTGCCTCATATAATTTTAGTAATGAGGCAGGATATATAAATGAAGCAAATAAAACTGCTCTCTGTATCTTTGCCTAGAATCGTAGGTCTTACACATCCTTAGGAAAAGCTGTCTACTTCAGGTAAAATAGTGTCATTCCCATTTAAAATATAGGGTAACTAAAGCACGGGGAGTTTTGTGAACTATTCTCAACCCCATATCCAGCAAACCTAACACTAAAATTTCCACTCAAAGTCTCCTGAATCCTTGTACAGTATTTCTTCTATTACACAATTCTGTCTAGTCCTGTCATTCTTGCTCCAAAGAGACTATCAACAATTCATCGGCCTATTCACTCATTCAACAAAAATTTACTGAGCACTGTCCAATGGCTAGTGGGAACAACAGTGTTAAAAAACAAACATTTCCCTCCCTGGTTAGGTGGCTCAGTTGGCTGGAGTGTTGTCCTATGCACCAAAGGGTTGAGGTTTCAATTCCTGTTCAGAGTACATACCTAGCTTGCTGCAAATTCAATCCCCCGTAAGGGTGCATACTGGAGGCAACCAATGGATGTTTCTCTCTCATATCTATGTTTCTCTCTCCCCCTTCCTTTCTCTCTAAAATAAATAAAATCATATCCTCAAGTATTAAAAAAAAGGAAACATTTCTTGTAGTGGAGGGTGGGAGGGGACCATAATCAACCCTTTCTCTCTAAAATAAATAAAATCATATCCTCAAGTGAGTATTAAAAAAAAGGAAACATTTCTTGTAGTGAAGGGTGGGAGGGGACCATAATCAATCCTTTTCGTACATGAGCTTTTTGCAGTCTTACAACAGTTCTATGAATTGAACATAGTGCTACATTTTTGTGGCATTTCTGGAGTTCTTGGTCCTTTTCATTCTCCATGGTTCTTTTAAATCCTATCATTCTATGAGCCCATAGAAAAGTCTAGATTGCCGACCCTGTGGTAGTGTTTCTCTCTAAGCTGTATCCACTAAAGCATCAGGCAGTAGGAGATCTTTTAAGTTCATGATGAAACCAAAGAATAGTCTCTCTGTCAAGAAGAATTATCACCTTTTTTTGAGTTGAAAGGGAGATATTTTAGACTATTTTCCTGTGATGAGTAGTGGTAGCCTTACCTTAGTTATTAGAGTTCTGAGTAACTGAGTCAATGGTATCATAAGCCACATTAAACACATTTTGGTTTCTTGGAATGTTCTTGTATTGAGAGGAACCTCACAGCTATGATTAAATCACTGCTCTCTTAAGCTCTTTTTGAAGCCATATCCTGCCAGTTATAAAGGCTGTCATTTCATATCTTTTGGTAATAGTTGTGTAGAAGAGGACTGTTCTTCTTAGTCAGAAACTGAATTTCTCAGACTTGTGGTATACCTTCCCCTGCTGACCCACAGAAATGAAAGACTAGGACTAATGATTAAATCTAATTTTCCCTCCTGTAGTGGCAGGATGAGCTGGGTCAGCAAGGACAGTCCCTGCAGATAGCTTTAAAATACATTTGTGATTTGATCCCCTTGCCTTCCATTTCATTTCTCTAAGTGCCTATCACTGTCATTCTTTACCACCCCAGCAAGTTTCTAAGGTAAGAACAGCACAAGTGAACAAGAGCATTTGTGATGCCTCCCGAGAGCGTTGCTTATTAAATGAGTTAGGCAGTGAGCCAAGTCTGACTTGTGAGCTACAAAGCAGGGTAGCACATTTACACGAAGATCATTCTGTGTATTATTTAAACTGTTCAAACACATTATTGCCCCTCTGCTGTTCAACATAACTCATGTGAAATGGATATTAGTTCACAAGTTAATAATGTCTGACTTTTATATTCAAATGGACTGAGAATCACTTGGTTTTCATTCCTTTGTCTAGATTGTAGCTTGTTTTCTCAGAACAACCGGGGAATATTTATGGAGTGTGTTGTGGAAGGTGGGGAGGGGAGGGAATAAAAATGCATTGCTTTAGGGCTGCACATCTGTTTTAGAGACTCTGCTGGGTCTTCACATTAACCACTGTCACGACTTATGATGTGCCCTAAAATTGCATTCTACTCAGAGACGTGCATACCAACTCAAAATAGTACCATTAAACAGATTTCACTGGTATGAATTAGTTCTCTATTTTCATGACTAGCAGATATTTTTCCTACTGAAGTTGATAACATGTGTATGATTCATAGCAAGTAAGTAATTCGTTGTTTTATTTACTTTCAAACAGATTGGCAACACCAAGTTGCTCAGGCCTTCCCGCAAGCAGAAGAGGAGATAGAAGTAGACACACATACATTCAGCCACAGGTGGAAAAGGAACACAGATCCCCTCAAGGCTGTGGACACGAACCGAGCGAGCGTGGGCCAAGACTCCCCAGAGCCCCGAGGTTTCACAGACCTGCTGCTGGATGATGGGCAGGACAACGCCACCCAGATTGAGGTAAACAGCCTGAATAATTGAAATGGATTAATGAGTACAGTTATGGTAAGGCACCGATATATATGTACTGTCATTTCAACTCAATCTAGGACTTTTGGACCATTTTTTGTGTGTAAAGATCAATTTAATTCATTGATAAATAATTAATTTGTTAATATTCAGTAATCCAATAATAAACAATTCTATTAAATAAATAAATAGGTAAACCATTTAATCACCCACAAATTCATTTACTCATGAAACAGACAAGCATGGACTTGGTGTGGTGAAGGCAGTGAGGGGAACACAAAGATGAAGACAATACAGCACCTGACTGCAGGGGATGTACCGTGTAAGAGGGTCTCCTCGCCATTATCAAATCATCCCTATACCAGGCGATATGTACAGAAATATATACAGGCTGTAGCATGGCAGGCATGGAGGAGGGAGTGATCATCTGCTTGGGGCTAGGAGGTGGGCTGTTGTCAAAGAAGTTAACTCTAGAGGTGGGCATCTAGTCAGGGTCTTGGCGGGTTGAGAAGAGTCCGCCAGGTTGACAACTTGGCAGTGGGGAGAGAGAAGAATCCTGGCAGAGAGAATTTCATCTGCAGAGGCCGAGTCGAACAACAGCATGGCAGGCTGAGGGGTCCAGGGCTGGGGTCTTTCTGGCTTGTAGGGCTTTCCGTGCTAAAAGTGGGACAGTGCTGGGCAAACTGGGACAGTTGGCCACTCTGACTGTAAGTAATTCTTTGTTATGGGTGGAGCCAGGAGGTGGAAGGGGAAGGGAGGAAGGAGAAGGGGTTGGTGATGGGTTTGGTGAGTCTGGAAGTTTGCTGAGGGCATATTTTAGATAGATTTTAGGGTTACCCAGAGGCCTCAGTCCTGAACATTGCAAATCATAAAATATGATCTTGTTAGTACACTAGATATAACAAAAACAACACTTATGGAAATAAGCAAAAACCACCCAAATGAGAACAGAAGCTGTTTTACTCAGTTTGCAATAGCAAGGGAGCCAGCCTCCATCACTTGCCTTTGGTGGAGACTCATAAGTAGTCAAGGCATGGGAAAGGTTTTCAGTTAAAAAAAGAGAAATCCTTACATAAGATCTGATTGGTGATTGTTGGCCTGCAGAAGCTAGAAGTAGGCTATTTAAAAACAGAACACTTCCTGTGATTGGTTGGGGGCGCATATACAGCTCTCTGTGGTTGGTCCTGAGTTGGACGCAAGGACAAAAAAATAGAGAAGAATTAATCAAGTCCTGCCCATCATGGGCCAGTTGCTGCCAAGCTTCTGTTCTGGCTCCCTGGACTCTAGAGCAGTGGTTCTCAACCTGTGGGTCGTGACCCCTTTGGCGGTTGAGCGACCCTTTCACAGGGGTCGCCTAAGACCATCCTGCATATCAGATATTTACATTATGATTCATAACAGTAGCAACATTACAGTTATGAAGTAGCAACGAAAATAATTTTATGGTTGGGTCACAACATGAGGAACTGTATTTAAAGGGCCAGAAGGTTGAGAACCAGTGCTCTAGAGGATGGGGTCAGAGTTCTGTTGTCATCCATGGTCTGACCATTGTCCATTTGTATATTCTCTTTCAATCTGAAGTTTTAGTTTCTACTTTCTCCCAGGTGACATGCTTAATACTTTTTAAGAACCAGACACCATTCTTTTTTACTGCTGTGAACTACTCATTCTTTAGGAAAAAACTCAAGTTCATGAAATAGATACAACATAGTTCTGCCAATTGTATCAAGGCATCACTTGCTGCCTCATTAGCGAGAGGACTTTTCAGAAGATCTGCAGCACAGGCCAGTGGCATTCTATGTATGTGGGAAGCCCAACGATTTTCAAAACCCCTCTCCATCTCCTTAACTAGTATGTGACTCTGATGGCCCCGGGCTGCCTCAGCCAGGACCCTTAACAGGCCACAGAGGGTGTGCCAGGAGCAGAAGTCGCACAATATCTCTGAGAAGCTATTCGCCTCCTGCCGTGTGCCTGCTATTTTGGCAACTATGTTGTTATAGCAACTCAGAGTAGGGAACATTATTCTTCCCTGAGAAGCTCTTCAGCTGGGGTGCAGCATAAAGAAAGGAGAGCTCAGCAGAGGTGTTTACTCTCTGCACACAGCTGCACCACTGAGATGGCAAGTGGGGGGCACAAATTCCTAGAACTCTGTGATCTCTGTGCAGGATGCCGAATTCTCCCTAATCTCTTGTAGAATAGAAAAGCTCTTTGCTCAAGGATGTATGAGCCCTCCTCGAAATACAGCCCAGTAGCTATTATAGCTCTGATTTTGTAATTCAGCCAATTTTTTCTTTTTCTACTTTAACAGAGGGAGACCTCCTAATGTCAGTGATTTTGAATCGGTGAAAAGAAAAAGGAAGGATGCTGCAGGGCGCTATTTGCTGGGTGCTCGAGCGGCGCTAAGATCAGCCAGGTGTTGCACGGATATTGTTTTTCTTAGTCCTTATATCAGCCTAGACTAGAGAGATCGGCATCCCCAGGTTCTCTGAGCCAGTGATTTTGAATCGGTGAAAAGAAAAAGGAAGGATGGTGCAGGGCGCTATTTGCTGGGTGCTGGAGCGGCGCTAAGATCGGCCAGGTGCTGCATGGATATTTTTCTTAGTCCTTATATCAGCCTAGAGAGATTGGCATCCCCAGGTTCTCTGAGCAATCTCAGTGACTTACATGAGGGCGATATCAGGTTTAGTGTTTCAGATTCAGGTTTAGCATTTTTAATAAGGACTCCCATTAATGAGTAAAGAAGCTGAAGCTTGCATGTAAACTCAGGTTTAGCCTTCCTACTGGACTTGGCTTCCTCTAATATATAAGGAACAATAAATGGCACTTTGATTACGGGAGGATTTTGGACAGCAGAAGCACCCAGATAGCAATATGACAGCAGCGTTAGAGTTTCAGTCTGGCTGGAAGGGGACTTACCTTGAAATTAGATGTGTACAGGAATAGGACTCCCTCTATTTTGAGAGTTTATTTATTTTGATGGCATTCTGGGGACTGATGAAGATTATTGGGGATCTAAAGTCCCATAAGTCATCTCTTGGCACCACCATAACTCTGGAAACAAAAGCCTACATCTGAAACTTTTCTGCGAAGTTTATTTATCCTGGCCCTTGAAATAGTATTTTTGAACATTGTTGTATCTCTTTTTGGGGAAAATACTTTTGTTGGATTGAGGTAAACAGGAATAAAAAGAGAAATGAACCACATGTTTATAGAGTGACCGTTCTGTGCTGGGCATGGGGGCAAGATCTTTCTTGTCTTTTAGGAATAGGCATTTTGCTCTATATAGCTGATTATAAGCAATAGCATGAAAGCCAGTGTGCTTTTTCCTTTAGAGCAGCGGTTCTCAACCTGTGGGTCGCGACCCCTTTGGCGGTCGAACGACCCTTTCACAGGGGTCGCCTAAGACCATCCTGCATATCAGATATTTACATTACGATTCATAACAGTAGCAACATTACAGTTATGAAGTAGCAATGAAAATAATTTTATGGTTGGGTCACAACATGAGGAACTATATTTAAAGGGCCAGAAGGTTGAGAACCACTGCTTTAGATGCTTCCACAGCCGATGTCAGGAATCAGAATTATTTTGCCTGAGAGCCCGGGCTGTACTCGGAGTTCTTAAAATAATTTGTACCCCACTGAGACTAAAACCACCCGTTAGGTATTCCTGTGCATGTCCTCACTTCTGCCATGTCTAGACTTTATATCCCACTTTCACTAAACAAAAACAAAGGACAATAGCATATTTACTATTTTGGCACAAATTCATTATAAAACAAAGACTGTTATTCTCTTAAATTGGTACAGTATTTTTTCTGGCTCTGCACAAGAACAGATAATGGTGGGATTGTAGAACCCAGTGTCCCAACTAAAGAATTCTTCCAATTGAAGTTTTTGTTGTTGCCATTGTTTTTTGTTGTTTTTCTTTTTTTAATATTCTTCCGGTGAGGATATAAAGATGTCTTGAAATCATTTGTACTTCTTGTTGAGCCAGCATGGACTCAACAGTGAGCAAATGCCACTGTTGATCTGAATGTTGGTCCATGTGAGACTTCCTTTTTGTAATTTCTCTGATCGTGTGGACATGTAACCACTTAGCCAAGGAGAAGAACAGGGCCTTCTTCTGATTTGTAGGTGTTGAGAGTGTGGTGTCATAAGGCAATCATTCCTGTGCTATGTTTTGTGATTACTTTGGGAATATGAAGGCTTTCAGGACTTTCAGGTAAAGTAGAATTCCATCCACACTCAGCCTTGCTTGAGCAGCCTTCAGTGTAGCCCATGACCCCAGGGACACACACATGCGCGAGCAGCCTTCAGTATAGCCCATGACCCCAGGGACACACACATGCACGGGCAGTCCGGGTACCTTCACCTCGCCGCTGGCTGCCCAGAGAACTCAGAGCATCAGAGGTGCCTTATAGAACCGAAAGGGCCTGAGGGGTCAGTGTTTGGTGAGTTTCATAAAGCTCACTTGCATTATCTTATTCCTGTGTGACGGTGTTGGTAACTTACTATTCTTCACTTGACATAAATCAACCCCGAATTCCTTCCTAACACACTAAACCAAATATGTGTTTTTTAACACTTATTCATATGGAGCTTTATATTCCCTCTCTTGGGACAATGGAAGTGTTCCTGAAAAGGATTTTTTTTAAAACATTTATTTATTTGGTTTTAATTTATTTTTAAATTTATTTTATCTTTATTATTGAAGGTATTTCCCCCCCATTGACCCTTTCCACCCCACTCCAAACCCCCATCTGAGGCCTTCACCCCACTATTGTCTGTGACCATGGGTTATGCATATATGCATATAAGTTCTTTGATTAATCATTGAAAAGGATTATTACATGTGATTTTTTTTTTTCTTGATTGAAAAGAACCTGGATGACTTGAAGAAGGGAAGATTTAAAAGTAGGGCTTATGGATTGTATAAGTGTAGCTTTATGTTCCAAACTGACTCAGAAATTGTGAGCTTGACCAGTGCCT